TTTGGGAAACTACCATATAGTGCTGGTCAAAAAGATACGGGCCCAGGAAAAGTGAGCGTGTTTAATGCGACACGTCCAAGGCGACTCTGCGCTCACCTTGTTCATGTGTCCCTCTGGACAGGCCAATTCAACATCGATGCTCCGGCTTTCGTGCCGAAAATCGAGGAGTGGTTTGCTTGTCCTTTCGCGGGCTAGCTTTTCACGCTTACGATACGGGTATCTGTGAGGACGATACTGCCGGGTGGCATTTGTTTGAGAAGTAGTGCAAACATATGTTCATCTTGTGTATTTTGTCACAAAGAGATTCTTTCTTTCCATCCCGCAGTAGGGTTTTTCCTGCAGAGACCACAACTCGCGTGAACACCAGGTGCTAGAGCCTGCTGTCGACTCCACTTTCCATTCATGTCCCATATTCCTTTCTACTTGATTCTCCATTATTGGGATCACGCATGCATAGGCACCGTAAAAGCCCCATATAATCCTTATGCGGAAATCCTATTGTTGATACAGGGTTTCCCATATTCAGGGGCGCCTTTAAGGGGTACCTTTAATAAGGATCATCGTATTTTGAGGTGTACATTGGGCTCCCCCTCTTAAAGGGCCGACTCCAGTTTCTTTCCAGTTCACGCTCCAATATTGAGTGAACCCATCTAATCCCTGGAATCCCCCAACTTTTCAAGCTAAGGATTGGAATCCGACTGCTGACAGTACATTCTGCAGGATTGTTGTAATTATCAACTGTAGCGAAATGTGAAGGAAATAGGGCATTCCTGAGCGCATGAACCCCAGCATTCTGAGCCCATAACTTCCGAATTGCAGGCGCGAACCTGTATAACCATCCCTACATATGGGTCATTCTCAAAATTATAGGCTCCTTTTGGGTTTAGATTCTATTCCGGCACCTAATATGTGGGTATACAAAAATAGGACCCTAATCTTGGGAACCCCCCCCCCATATTCTGGTGCCCCGATATTCACTCCTGCGCCCCGCAGAAACACCAGTAAAGGACCCTAAACCCTGAACCCTGAACCCTGAACCCAAAGCCCTAAACCCTAAACCCTAAACCCTCAACCCTAAACCCTCAAACCAACACCTCGAACCCTAAACCGTAAAGGACATCCCCGATATCGTCGAGCTGCTCCGTCCTCAGCGTGGTGGGCTGCGAGCTTCTGTAGGGTTTAGGGTTTAGGGTGTAGGGTTTAGGGTTTAGGGCTTAGGGTTTAGGGTGTAGGGTGTAGGGTTTAGGGTTTAGGGCTCAGGGTTTAGGGTTTAGGGCTTGGGTGTCTTCATGTTTTCAGGTTTGGATTTTGGGGTATTTTCCACTAGTCCTCAAACACAGATTAAGTGGAAAAAAGTGCCCGTATGTGCCTCCAGCCTTGAATTCCGGACCCCAAGGCCGAAGCCAGAAGCGCTGAATGGACCTGCTTTCGAACGTCTACCCCTCCAGCCCCAAGCACAGATGTGCAAAACAAGGTGATTGAGAGTTTTGGGTTTAGGGACATGACTTCAACCATGGATCAGCAAATGGAAAAAAAGTTCGAAGCTACCAAAAGGGGATGAGATTGTTTCCGGTCTACGCCAAGTAGCCCGGATGAAGCTTGCAGCTACCTGCGAATCCTTAACCCACTGCTCAGTTTGTGAGATCCACGGGCGGCTGATAGGGCAAATGCAAGAATACAGGGTTCATTGTCCACATCCTCCCCCAAATAAATGAGTTGATCGTCTTGGCTTGGAGGAAGGTCAGCCCCTCGACATTACAAAAGTCCTGGCTAAGGCTTCCCAACCACCACAAGTCTCGTCTCCGCCAGTTCTATCAGGCAAGCAGCTGGGTCCAGGGTTAGAGTTTAGGGCCGATGCTAAGGACTCGATGATGGCGTGTCACTTAGGAGAAGACCAATTTGAGTGAGAAGTTAGCATCTTGCCGACATATGGGGGTTTAAAAAAATTAGGGGTACCATTTTGGGGGTCCCAATAATAAGGACTATAGTATTTTGGGGTCTATATTGGGGTCCCACTATTCTGGGAAACTACCATATTTTCATGATGGGCGCGGCCAAAGCTTTGAAAGACATGTGAGTGTACCTCCTCTTAGGAGACATAGCTGGGAAAACCTGGCTTTCGTTGATTTCCCGCCCTGAAAAAAAAGGTAGGGTTTAGGGTTTAGGGTTTAGGGTTTAGGGTCACGATCCATGGACCCGGGCATGGACAGCACAATTGAAGGCTTAAAGTAGGATGCCGCTCGCATCTCGAGGAGAGTTGTTGACGCAACGCTTCTTGAGTGTAATCAATGCAAATACCATGTGGAAACTCCCCACCAAGAAGAGTGACCTTCCACAGCTCTCTAACTCAAAAGAAGCAGATTTGTTATCTGGCAAGGGCAGAGACTTGCGAGTAAGTGCTGGGAGCGTCCAGAAACAGCGGGACCCTTTAAATACCACCGGAAAGGATCCTAAACCCTAAATAGTAGTTTCCATTTTCTCCATTATCCCAATATAACCCTAAACCCTAAAGCCTAAAACCTAAACCCTTTCATATATCCCCAATATAGCCCTGATATTACCCCAATGGGTACCTATATCCCAGCCACGGATGGAACCACCTTCTCCGAGGTCCTACAAGCAGCATCACTGGAGCACTGAGTTGGACGTTCCATAAAGCTTGGGGTCCATGTTTGGAGCACTTAATATAGGGACCTAAATGATTACCAATATTATGGTTCCATATTCCATATATAGCTATAGTATATGGTACCTTAAATGGACCTCAACATGATATTGTTAATTATTTAGGCCTCTTTAGTACAGTAAGGCATCCCGTCACTTAGGGTGCAGTGCCAGGTAACAAACTTGCACATGTTTGCATATGCCTTTTCTCTGTTGGAAGGCATACAACGGGTCTTACTGCACCTACTACGCTGCCCGGCTGGTTCTCAATTCCCTTGACTCTTGGGGTTGCATAGGGTTTAGGGTTTGGGGTTGTAAAGTTTGCCATGTTCGAAGGTCTAGGGCGATTCTAGGGGAGCTCTTTGCCAAGATGACTATAGCCCAGGATCAAAGCATACTGATAAACCGAAAGCACCCATGAGCCTCCAAATGAATTCCACAAGAACCCCACCATTTGAAGCACACTTTCCTCTTCTTTCTCAGAAATTTGGTGTTGCAGGAAGAGAAGACTGTTCATGGGGTCCCCTACTACCCTCCCATACTACCCCAGCCAGGTTCCCCCTGAATGAGCCTGAATTTTCCATAAAAAATCCGAAGCAAGGGGGTAGTAGGGGAACTCACGAGCTGGGCAGATTGGAGAGGTTAGGGTTGCTAGTTCCGGGACTGGGACTTCTCGGAGAACAGAGGTCATATGGGAGTTTCCCAAGATTAGAGTGGCCATTTTGGTACCCCTAAATAATAGGTGTAGTATAACCTCTAACCCAAATGGGCCCATAATTTTGGGAACTACCCATATGGGAGTTTCCCAAGATAATGGGCCCCTTTAGGACCCCAAAGCTCTCCATTTCAAGGGATTTTCAGGGGGTTTATACATTTTCTCGGGAACTTCCCATGAAGCATCAAGCGCAGGAACTCTGACGTTGTGCTGATAAAGTATCTTTTCTCGTAGCAAGTGCCTCGCAAAAGGCACTTCTGGGTCTAGGGGGGCTTCCAAACAGCGGCCTGACCACCATTGAGCTATATAGGGGTTCGGTAGGGTTTAAACGGATAATGGCAAAGAACATGGGCACCTACTATTTGGAGTTTAGGTTTTAGGGTTTTGGCTGTTTTATTGGCTGGGATAATTTTGGAACATTGGAGGCATGCCGGTTCATTCCTGTATTCCCCTAGGCTGGGCTTGGGAAATGAGTCGTGAAGCCCCATAATCAAGAGGCTTGACAAACATACCCAAGGAACTACTGCAACTGCCCCGTCTGTCATGTGGCGAAGACAAGCAAGGACTATGAACTGTGTACAGGATTTGTAAGTGTGTACCATGCCTGAGCCCAAGACACTAAACTCAGAACAACAATCCCAAACCCGTGAAATCCAAACCCTGCATTACGTGTGGGTTTCCAAGAGGCTCTTCTTATGCTGGGGTCTATATTGGGGTCCCCCTCTTTATGCAAACTATCTGAAATCTCAACCTCCATCCCTTGCTGGTACGAGCAGGGGCGTGGATCCTTGAAAGGCTTGCAGCCCACATTATCCATGTTGTGATTCCAAAGGAGGTCTGTACCCCGGTATCTCGCAAACACGGCAGAGCTGTTACATACTCCCTTTTTCAGTGGTGTTAGGCTTCTCTGACATTGCAGTCCTAGCCAGGAAGTTGGTATACCCTGTAAAACTACTAGAAAAGAAGCCCCATCCACACCCTATAACTGCTGACTCTCCCTAAACCCTAAACCCCTAACATTCCTGAGGTTGGCACGCTTAAGAGCTTTAACACGCGGAATGGCTACGGATTTCTGGAGCCAGGAGCTCGTGGAATTGTCTAAAGCAGGAGGAGGATTGAGTTTACGTAATAGGCTTAGGGCGTAGGCTTCGGGTGATTTCTTGTGGCTGTTGGCAGTGGGAGCACTGGGGTGGTGGGGGTATGCGGGGAGTATGTGTCAAATATCTTTTAGTCAGAATGGCCTACTTTCCGCGCGTGAGCCACTGCATTGCTACGGCTTACTGGCTGGGGGCAGAGAGGTTAGTCTTGGGTAGTGATTAAGACATGGATTTGGAATAGAGTGGACATCGGTGTGAATTGCATAATGAAGATGGGTACGGAACAGACCGAACTTTTGCCTGAGCGGATAATAACAAGGCAGGAACGGAATAACTGAGAACCGGAATCGATCCTGACAATGGAGTTAATGCCAGGCCCCAAGACCCCCCAAACAAGTTTGCCCAAATTGGATTGGGGAGCGCGGGCTATTTTTCAATCTCTACCCATTGGGGGGGTGGGGCTCATGAATCAGAACCCCTCTTTAGGGGCCATGCCTAAACCCTAAACCCTAAACCCTAATGAATCAGAACCCCTCTTTAGGAGCCATGAAAGCCGCATAGAAGTAGTTCCCAAACGAGGAGGAAAGCAGCAGAGGCCCGAAATCCCAATGTGCCAGCCCTGAACCCATTAGGGTTTAGGGTTTTAGGGTTTAGGGTTTAGGGTTTAGGGTTTAGGATTTAGGGTTTAGGATTTAGGGTTTAGGGTTTAGGGTTTAGGATTTAGGGTTTAGGGTTTTATGAATCTCGTCCCTCAGCTGCAAAAACCGGATCCCATGCACACCGCCTCCCCAGCCAAGCGTTGACCCCTGACTTAAAACCTGGGACTGAACTTTGGAGTATTTCGCAGAGCTAGTACCTAGTCCAATTCTCTGCTTCCTCCCTGGGCTCTATACAGGCCAGCGGGATACCTGATTATATTACATATTCTGCATAGGCCTGAAACATGTGCGCGGTCTCAGCGCCCCTGAACACCTGAGATCTACCCCAATGCATCCAGTAAGCATTGTGATTTTTCAGCAAAGGTCAGCAAAGGTGCAGTGTTTCCCAGCAGAGGCTCGGGTTCTCTCTCCCATCATAGCGAGGATTCCCACGGAGGTTTCCAAATATTAAACGCACCTGTTTGGGTGTTTGGGGGTCTACGGGTCTATATTGGGGCACCTATTTATGGAACCGCAGTTGAAGTACTCAAGGAGCATATCTGCACCAACCTCTGGAGAATGAGCAGCTGCAAACGGAGCCTAACTCCTAAACCTCAAGCTCATAATGCTCCCGACCATCTATACCCCAACCCACAGACTAGTCACTAAACCTTAGACTGCAAACTAAGCCCTGAACCCTGACCCCGCACATGAGCAGACCCAGCACCCTAAACCCCAAACATTGAACCCCAAACCTTGAACCCCAAACCCCAAACCCTATACCCCCCTAAACCCTCCTGGAAAATTGCTTAGGTGCCGGCAAGCCAAAGCAGACTGGGGAGTGGACGCAGCTCTGACGCATAGATGTCCTTGTAAGTTAGGCTTTAGGGCTTACGGCTTGAGGTTTAGGGTTTAGGGTTCAGGGTACTTAAGTACGGTGGGATTCATCAGTAATATAGGGCATTTGTGGGCATATCGGTATATGCCGGAGGTATACAGGGACATGTACGGTCTAATAGGGGTATGCTAGAAGAAAGGAGAATGGAAAAGACAATGGAAACTGGGGTTGTAGAGGGTCTTACAGGGGTTATGTAGCGCAGAAGTACAATTCCTTGCCACTTCTTGATGGCTGTTATCAGTAAATTTCAGGGTGGAAAAGAAACTGGAAGCTACTGTAGGGTTTAGGGTTGAAGGCTTAGGCTTTTGAATGAAGAACTGGGGAACAACGCATGGAACCCACCACATTTTGAGGGTACATATAGGGGCCGCTGTCAGAGTTTATTTCTCCATTCCCTACTTACAGCCAGCCGGCCCCACACTGGACCCTAAACCTCAAACCCTGTATAATATAACCCTAGGGTTTAGGGTTCGCTATATAATCCCTATAAACCCTATATATGTATATATATCCCCTGTAGCCTCAGGGTTCGGGACGGGGAGTTACCGGGTTACTTTTAAAGTGAGGTCCATGGGTCCATAGATAGGAGGATTTCCAAGACATGGGTCTTTCCCAGAATTAGGGTTACCATTTTTGGGGGTCCCCATAATAAGGATTATACACCCCTATTTAGGGAATTTCCAAAAATAGGAGTACCATTTAGGAGTCCACATAATGACGATTGTTCTACCCCTAACTATTGGATTTCCAACCTTTTGGGTTTTCTCAAAAGTTCCTTTTCGTCCTCTAGGGCCCTAACTCGTATGTAGTTGTGTAGATATGGTTGGAGACCTTGATTGGCGGTTTAGGGTGTAGGGTTTGGATTTAGGGTTTAGGGTGTATGAAGCCCGATACAGCCGCAGTTTCCATTGAGATTTCCCATTCGTGTCCGTTGATCTCTCCAACATGGTCTGCTTCTAGGGGTTTAGAATGGTTTAGATCTAGGGAGTTGTGCCTTTTTCTCCAGAAACTGGCGTGTTTAGTTTCTTGCCCTGATATCACTTAAGCACCATGAGATCCTAATCCCAAAGCTTCGAGATGAACTCCAGCCGCCCTCAACAGTAAATCCTATTTCCTGAGGCCTAAGCCTAAGTCCTATACCCTAAACCCCTAAACCCGAACTCCCAAACCGCTAAACCCTAAACCCCTAAACCCTTAAACCCTGAACCCCTAAATACCTAAACCCCTGATCCCCTAAACCCTGGAACCCTAAACCCTAAACCTGCGAGGTCTTCATCCACAAGAATAACGTCCAAACGCCTTGGTTCCTTGGGCAGGCGCAGTTGGAGCTTTACGTGGGCTATAGTCTAAGCTCCTTAAAGGGGGGTTATATAAGGTAGGATTTAGGGTTTGGGGAATATATATAGGGTTTAGGGTCTAAATTCCTTAAGGGGGTTATATAGGGGATTATATGCAGGGTTTAGTGTTTGGGGTCTAAACTCTTTAAGGGGGGCTATATGGGAGTATAAGGACTACTGTGGGGGTGATTAAGGGGGATACTAGGAGTTTAGACTATAGCTCACCTGGTCGATCAAAAGATGAAAGCTCCTGTTTGGGAACACTAAGGTTTCCCAAAATTTAGGGGTGCCTTGTTGGGTGTTCTCACAATAAGGGTTGAAACATTTTGGGGTCTGTATGTAATAGCTTTTGGCTGGGCTGCCGCGACTTCATAGCTGCAGCACGCCCTGAAAAACTTGAAGCTTTCCCTCTGACCTAAGCAGTGCTGCCCGCATTGGAAAAGCTTGAAACCCGAGCAGCCCTGACTTCAAACCCGAAACCCCTCGGCCCAAAAAATTGCGTTTGATACCGCAATCCTGCATGACCCTACGTACCTCATACGTTGGAGAATGGGGTTGCATATTATTACTTTAAGGTCATGCAGGAACTTGATCACCAACAGCATCGGCACATGTTACACAAAATGGTTTAGATCCGAAAGATGTCTAGCCTGTAGCCAATGGATTTGCCAAAAAAAATGCGTGCAGCCTGTGCTTAAAGGTTCATGAGTAGATGTAAATAGGACTGTAAATGCGCGAACGTTAGGTTGCAATTGTAGTTAGTCTACTGATACGCCCACTTGTCGTGACCATCACCCTGTATGTAGGGGGCTAAATATTTAGCCCGTTATCATATCTCCGCATGCTCATCTTATAGCTGCTCTTTGCAGACAACCAGCAGCGCTAACCAAAGCGGCCATACATGCCGCGCAATCTAACATCTTGCAGCTGTTGAATCTGAATAACTTTTGAATTTCACGAATAACCCACTAAACCCTAAATCCTAAACCCTAAACCCTAAACCCTAAATCCTAAACCTACTATAGAATGAAATGATCGTATCTGATTTAGCTCAAGAGGATCCCACCCAAAACCCTAAACCACCGAAACCCTGTGCGCACCTGAAGCCTGCAATTCCAAATGCGAGTTACAAAAGTGAGGGGCCACGGGCCCCGAGATTTCTCCTAAAATTATGATAGTTCCTCTTACTTGGACCACAAAAAAAGGACACCAAATTTTTGAGAACTCCCAAAACCATCCTAAACCCTAAATTCAAAGTCCGACGCTGCCTGGTGTCCCGCTGCCAGCCCGTGGAGTTCGCGGTGCAGGTGAACACTCGCGGCCAGCCACAGGCAAGTAGGGTTCAGGGTTCAGGGTATAGGATTTAGACCTTATAGGTTATGACGCAGCTATGCCTTCTCATAAGATTCGGAAGGAGATTCGAAGACTTTCAGGGTTTCTACTGCAGGCATCTACTTCAGACCAAAACCCCACGCCCTGAACTGCCCAGTAACTCCCTTTAAATGAGAGTTCGTGCAAGTCCATCTTACCATGTTCGTGTAGCAATATGAGTGATTTGGCTTAAACCCTAAACCCTAACCTTAATTCAGGGTTTAGGGTTTAGGCTTATCTGGCACATGCACCAATGTCTTAGCACCTTGCTGGATAAGGAGTTCAAAGGATAGTTTGCAGGCGCAGTCCGACACAGTCCCCCAGCAATGTTGCCCTAAAACTTCCCAGAAAGGCTAGGGGTTGCGGAATCTTCAGAAACGCGGTTTAGGGTTTAGGGTTTAGGGCTAAACCACTATGCAACCCATGCGTCCATGTCATGGTCCATGGTCTTTTCCATTTGATTCTCCATTATTGGAGTATGTTGGGGCATCTATATATATATATATATATGTGCATATTCTGTCTTCTCCTATATCTGTATAGAAAGTGTTTTAACGTTTCAAACGAAGACAAAGCAGTCCTGGCGCCAGGCATATGACTGCAACTGGTTGCCGCGACTACCTCCTCAGGGAAACAAGGCCCAGACTGCCTGAGGGAGATGGCGTAGAAGCCCAAAATGAGCTATAGTCTAAACTCCTTAAAGGGGGTTATATTGGGGATTCTATAGGGGACTACTATAGGGTTATTAAGGTGGATACTAGGAATTTAGACAATGGCTCAAATGATTATGAAGATTGTCCCCTCCTAATCCACATAAAATTGTGGTGCAATACCCTGCCTCAAAAAAATGCCTAGTCGAATCGTTCTTATAGCTGTAGCCCCAATGTAATAACTATTCCTGAGTAGTAGGTATAATCCTAAACTTGTAGGTAATTGTGGTTGCCGGTAGCCCTTGTGCAGGGGATGAGACTGAGGTCGCGAAAGCAACCTTGCTTTCAAGAAGCCCTCGCCAAAAATCCCTACAGCTGTGCCCCGGACAGGGTGTTGGTTGACATTTTCTGGATGAGGTTGTCCCTTGCCCTACCCTAATTTATGATGATAGGCTTCACGTGGCTTTTGTTGGTGCAGTCCTCCAGCATGTTTTTGAGAGCCACCTCCATCCCCCGCAACAATACCTGGCGTGAGTGAGAACGAGACTGGTTTTCACCAGGCTTTGGCATGATCACGTCGTTGTAAGCTGTATGCTCAACCTCCTCTAACACCAGCACCTCCTGCAAATCATTGTGGGAACTGCAACCTACTCAAACCTAAGTACAAGATCTAGAAGCCCCCCATATAACCCCAATACATGCCCTATTATCATGTAGTCGTTTCCATGTTCTTTTCTATTCTCCCTCTATAACTCCAATATAATATGTACCCTATCTTGTAACCTGCAGCCAACGCTACTGTTGGCAATGGTGAAGCCGACTTTGCTTTTTCGACGACGCAAGTTTGCAGTGAATGCATGCCACGGGGGATACTAGGGGTGTGGACTATAGCTCATGTGTGCTGTGCGCTGAAGTTTTACACGCTGAACTGCATCCAGTCTTCGTGCCTGCAGGTGACTCCTGGAACAGTGCTTGGCCCTTACGACGCCAACATGCGCGGTTTTTGCAGGGAAGTGTAAAACTCTGTAGGGGTTCCTGGCGAAGACTATGGGTACGGGTATAGGTCTGTGCACTAGTCTTTTCTTTGGGCTTCGTTTGGGGCGGTCCGGGGGAGGTGTGCAGCAGGTCTTGAAGTGCGGGCACGGGAGCAGGTGGTGGAGGCAGTGGGTATTCAGCAGTAATTAGTGGCCATAGGTGTCCCTGATATACCCAGCAGTCTGTTCACAACCCGGACGCTAGTTGAAATTGTTCAAGAGCGAAACTGTTCAAGACCCAAATCCTTACACCCTAGATTTGTAAAGCCTATACGCTAAACACCCCTAAAACCCTTGAACCATCAACACCTCCATACATCCCCAGTACCCCTAAACCCCCAAGCGACATGAGGCCAGCCGTTCCTGGAGCAGGCTGTCGGCCGTTTCTCAGGGTTTAAGGGTATGGATTTTAGGGGTAATTCCCAAGATTATGGTCCTAGATCAGTAATTGTAGTATAGGGGTTTCCAGAGCGGGCACGAATGGCGATGACTACGCATGTATCCTTAGTCCCTTGAGCTCTCAAGTAATTGGTTAGGAAAGGATGTCTGTCAACTAGAGTCACCAGAGATTGCATCATTGAGGTCTCGGGGCATATTTCCATCTGGCCAATCCTTCTCACCACGATTTCGTTCCCCGAAAGATTGGTAAATTCGGATAGCGTCTACCTCCTGGACACAGAAACATCAGCAATCCCTGATGCTGCTTTGTTGCCCATTATTGCTCTTTGTTTCAAGCATGGTGGACTACTGTACTGTCGGACATGCTGGCTCTTTGGGTATTTGTACGTGTGTGTGTGAAGGAAGGAAATTTTAGGGTCTCCCAAGATCAATTAGGGGTATCCTTTTGAGGGACCCCATATGAAGGCTTACAATATTTCCGGGTCTATATTGGACTCCCTTATTTATGGAAACTACCATGTCATTTCATGTAACACAGGCTTCCAAGTCCCAGGGAGCAAAGGTTAGTGTCCCAGATCGCAGGCCCCCCCCGCCCCCCCGCACCCTCCACCATATAACAATGCGGCAAGCCAGTAAGCCTTGAACCCGAAATCCGGAAAGCCTCTAAAGCCTAACCCTGAAATCTAAGGTTTAGGGTTTAGGGTTCAGGGTTTAGACGCCCCCAAGCCTAATCCCTAAACCCTAAGCCCTAAACCCTAGGCCCTAAAGCCTAAACCCTAAGCCCCTTATGAATCTAGCATTGACATTGGCTACCCCTTTGCCAGGTCCATACACCGCTAGCAGCTCGAGCTCCAATGCAAATGCCACTTGGCTTTGACTATGATTCACTAGGGGTTAAGGGTTTAGGGTTCAGGGTTAGGGATTAGATAGGGTTTACATCGGGATTATAGGGAATACATTGGCGTTATATAGGGATAATGGAAAGGAAAATGGACACTACTATTTAGGGTGTAGGGTTTATTATGGTTAGGGATCAGATAGGGTTTATATAGGGATTAGAGGGAATATATTGGGGTTATATAGGGATAGTGGAAAAGAAAATGGAAACTACTAATTGGGGTTTAGGGTTTAGGGTTAGGGACTAGATAGGGTTTACATCGGGGTTATAGGGAATATATTGGGGTTATATAGGGATAATGGAAAAGAAAATGGCAACTACTAAATAGGGTTTAGGGTTTAGGGTTAGGGGTTAGATAGGGTTTACATAAGGATTATGGGGAATATTATGTTGGGGTTATATGGGGATAGTGGAAAAGAAAATGGAAACTACTATAATGGGCTTATGTAGGGTTTAGGGTTTAGGGTTTATGGTGGAGGGTTCAGAGGTTCTAGTGGAACCCTAAACCCTACACTCTGAACTGTGCGGGTGTAGAGCCTGGTGTAGGTTTTACGATTGAGGTCCTACTTTATCTGTTGTGAGAACCCGAGGGAATATGAGACATCAGCATTCAGTGCGAAGGCAGTAGAGCGACTTGAGCATGAGGTCTCTCGGTGGATGACAACGGATCAGGGCCTATTCGCCTATTATGATATGTGTCATTCTCAAAATTATGGGCCCCTTTTGATTGTCACCGACTACTGTAATTAGGAGTATCCAAATGGGACCCTAATCTTGACCCCCACCCTCATTTTTGTGTTTTGTGGCGCTCCGCGTAACTTGGCTTTTGACCTGTTTGTGCATCTGAGTTTCAGGAGAAGCCGTAGGATTGGGAATGCTCAGAATTGGTCGTAAACGAGTGGCCATCGGCTTAAACCCTACACCCCTTTCAGAGGGAAAGATGCTGGGTCTCAAAAAGTGACATGAGCTATAGTCTAAACTCCTTACAGGGGGTGATATAGGGGATTATATAGGGAAGAGTTATAGGTCGTACTATGTGGGATGCTAGGAGTTTTGGACTATAGCTCATATGATGGAACCGGTCTTCTCGGTTGCTGTTAAAGACCTTAGATTATGGTGCCACTACAAGTTAAACGTGATATTCATCTTGTCCCAGATGGAACCCTACACTCTGAACAATACACCCCGCACCCAAAACTTCTGACCCCTAGAACCTATAATCCCGCTTAAGTAGATAGAATATGGCTTTGGGTAGATTATAATAAGATCCCCATATAACCCATATTCTATCTACTTAAGGGGCGCCATAGGCCCTGAATCCTTCAGAACCCGGAGCAAAGGCGACCCCGGAGCAGCGAGCGCCGCCCCAGCCGAAAGCGCCCAAGATGTCCGAACCTTTCTGGCGGAAGAAATCGTTGCCTTAAGGGTTTCAGAGTTTAAGGTTTGGGGCTCTGGGTGTTCCAAGGTTCAGGGTTTTTCGGGATGTAATTTTGGCTTGGAGGCTCAGGGACTTAGGATGGAAGGTTAGGTGATAGGGTTAGGTGCTCTCGGGTGCAAGGTTGGGAATTAAGATCTGTCAACTTATTTGTGCCGTGTGAGTTTGCTTTTAGAGTTTGTCATTCTGTGTGTAGGCATCTTCCCGGATGCTTGGTGGGGGGATTTAAGAGAGGTCTGTTGGGGGTTTGCTGGAAGCAGCAGGTCTCAGGGCTTTCGAGATACAGGTTGGTAAAACACATGTGCATGACCATGAGTGTCTCATACCTTGGCAACTATGGTATTTCCTGCATGACCTTGGTATACCGTAGCACCTTAATTCCCAAGGTGTAAGATACTTAGGGTCATGCAGGATTCTTTGTATCAGCCCTAGTATAATTGCCAAGGCACGCAAGATTTGTAGCCCCAACAGAGGAATTTGGAGTGGACCCAGGGTTGAGGCAGTGGGGAGTTTGGCAGGGCCTAGGTCATATGAGCTAGACTAAAGTTCGGTTGGGGGGGACCTATATTGGCATGTCTCGGGGGTTTGGGGGAACCTTTGAGGAATATACTGTAACTAATCCCTATATAATCCCTATATAACCCCTAAATAACCCCTGTATAACCCTTATATAATCCCTATATAATCCCTAGTCCTGGGCTCATATTCAGGTGCAAGTGCAGCCGTAAAGGCTCCTCTGTGATTTAGCGGCATTTTGGTGCTTGTAAACCCATTTCGGGAAGCCTCAAAAGTTTCAGTCCGTGGAAACTCCTTGAGCCTTTTGAGCATGCAGCTGCAATTCCTAAGCGCTCGCGGTGGCTTATGTGAGGACCTGCTGGTCAGTTGCTCAGTTGAACCGCATAACATGTTCAAGGCTTATCCGCCAGACGCTCGTATCGAACAGCTAAATGGGTTTTTCGAAAATGATGGATCAGGGTTACACGTACACATGAATATTCGACCTTCGCGAAAGAAACCTGAAACCTACCCCAATCTAATCCGATCAAATCCAAGCATGCTCCGTGGGTCCTTTGCCAGAAGCACCCAAACGAAGTTGGCAGCCTGGACGAAGACTTTCTTTGACTGCAGCCATGCAACCGATGCCACGGCAGTGTCGGGTCACCTCGGGCTCTGCAATGTGCCGTGAGTGCAAAAGGACTTCAGGAGTTATCTTTTTCCCTGCTCGTTTCTCCACATTCCTGTGCGATAGCCGCATCGACAATCGATACATTTTTGCGACATGCATGCTGGCTCATTGTGACACGCTTGTTCCGCTACGGAGGGACGGCAACAAGCTGCTGAAGCGCATCAAGGGACGCCCCCTCAGCTCGAACATGATCCATGTTTTGTTTCCTGCTGGTGTGAAAGATTTCCAAGGGTTGGGCTTTAAGCTAGCTTGTGAGCTTTTAGGGTTGGCCCTAATCTGGGTGCCAGGCCCGGTTCTCCAGCTCCTCCTCCGGTTGATGGAGAAGATCCTTCAAGGAAACATCAGGGCGTCACACTGGCATACCATCCTTCACTTGGGGCGCATTACGCCACTTTTGCTTAATAAATGTACTTGACGTAGTGTCGTAACACAGGCAAGGTCGCATCCAGCCACGAACAGAAACAAAACGAAGCGTTTGGGGCCACCTGTGCCAATCACCGGATTTCTCAGGCTCAGAGAAAGCATTTTTGGGTGAGGATCCAAAGGGCCAAGGTCACGAAGTGTGAGAGCACAGAGAGCAGGGACAATTGCAAGGATACAAAACAATCAACAAATACAGCCGAGGAGAAGCTATGAACACACATGTCACAGCCAAAATGCGGAGCAGTTTCTGTTGGCTTCACCTACCGCTTCGAGAACTGAGTACTTTTCGACAAAACCATAGCGAAGAGTCCACCTTCAACTCGTGAATGTAATTGCATCTGTCAAAAATCGCAAGTATTCAGCATCAACAGCACAGAGTATGGAACATGGGAGAGCTCACTCCCAATGTTATTAGGCAAAAGGCTCACCCACGGAAATTGTTTGAATCCGGGCATGGGCACGCGTAGAATTCTATCATCTAACAGCACACATCTTGCCGAATGATGACCATGAGTGGCAGGTCCAGTTCCGCCAGTGAAAGCTTTCCGCTTCTGCGTTATTTCTGCCCGGCTGGCGACACAGGCGATTTGAGATATCGATTGGGTGTGATTCTTCGGCAATTTTGAACCTTTAGTGCCGGAGCCCGGCAGGACTCGAATTTTGAAGCTGGACTTCCTGTTGCGCCATTGCAGAGTGCTTCCTGGCGCGAATTTGGGCGCCCAATCAGCCTCAAGCTGCCCCACATCGTGTGTCCCAGGTCTGCGGTGTGGTATGTCGACGAGCAAAGCCTCGAAGACTATCGCCAACTTCGCCTTGAAGCTGTTGCAGGCCTAAACATGGGAGGAAAGCTTGCGTGCCAAGTCAACTCGGATGGAAGCTGACCTGCCAGCAGGAGGCAGCCTCACCCAGGCTCGCAACAGAGCGTTAGAGGACGGCTTCATTGAAGAAGTTTGCCAAAACCGGTCTTGGCACCAAACCCACACATGTAGGTCAATGACTCCACAAGCATAAAACCGCGAAACTTCGATCGTGGGGATGCTGACAGCCCTAGCCAGAGCACTTGCTGCAGGATGTTATGGCGGAGAACAAGGCATGCGTCCAGGCAGATGCAGGAGCCAGTAGTGAAGTGCACACGCTTATGTAGTCGCATCTGGTCAGATCTCGGACGATATCAGCCAATGGAAGTCTCTCGGAATGAACCCACTTTGCGCGGAGAAGTTGCCGGGAGCACAGCAGATAACAACAGAGCTGTAGCAACGTTCCTGAGGTATTTCCTCGGAAATGCGGCTGAATCGTCGGAGCGGGACATGCCATGGCTAGTTCTCTCTTGTGCATCTTCCTTCTTCTTGATGCACACATCATCACGCAACTATCACCAGCACCACCGCCGCTTCCGCCACTCCCGAAACTATGGCCGCCAGCTGCACCAGCATGATAATGAGGGAGATTCTGACCTGGCCGCCTGCCATACCGGCAAATAAAGTTGACAGTGGCGGTACGGAGCCCCCTGACTAAGCGGTAGCGTTGTTCCATGGTTTGTCGCAGAGCTGGCAGGGGCCAGCCATGCACGAAATATTTTGAGCAACTATTTTGTGGTGTAGTAAGTCGTACAGCTCGACCCATCCCGGGTAGTTGCGGAGAAAGCCGGAGTGCCAAGCCCAGAATTCCTTGCAGCCTCGCTGTCCAAAAGAGCATCTAAGAAGATTCAAGAAGTATGAGTTTTGGCATACTTGAGCCCTTGCAGCACGTATATACAACTGCTGGAGAGACAAAATGATTAGCTTTTGGATCCTCCTTTTGAGGATAGGAACAGTCTACGCCCTGACTTGAAATCGCAAGTACAACAGGTAGTTTCCATAAATTCAGGTGAGCGAAAGCAACGGCTTGCGGAAACCGTGGAGTTGGCGCTGGCTGCTAAAGGCGGCGGCCAAATCCGCCAGCGAGGAGGCAAGGGTGCAACCAAAGGCAATGGCAAAGGGAGAAACCCCACCGACGCGGTTGATTGGCGACTGCAGGCCAACAACCCCGAGCCTCCAAGTCTCGGGCGAGTTTTTACTTCGACGACCTGCAGTTCTGAGCCTGGACAGCCGAGGCGTGTTTTGACGTCTTGCAGACCTAGGCCTGGACAGCTTACCCATGTCTTTAGGCAATGGGCCACTAGGACTCGGACATCTGGCATCATCAAAAAAGGGCCTGTACTTCAGAATAGGGATCTTCAGATTCAGGCCCGGAAAAGGAAAGATTTTGTCAATCAGGGGTCTACATTATCACTATGACCCTTTGTTAGGCATCCAGCTATCAGGCCCAACATGAGAGAGGACACCCACCCCAAAACCGCTTTGTTGGCAATCGTCTTATTTCCCAGAACCTAAGGAATCTTGGGCAATTTAAAGCGACCTCACCCGACCTCACCCTGGAGGTTTATGTAGGGAATGGTACCAAAATGGCTTTAAATTGGGAATTGAAATTATGCTTAATTACCCTGGAAATCGACCCTATGATCTAGTCCTCGTTTCTGAACCAGGTAGGGAGTCCCTAAAGGGCTAGCGAAAGCCATCCCTAGACGCTAATCCGCAAGCCTTCCTAGACAAGATGGAGAAGCAGATTGACAAGAAAATGGAATGTTGATGGCATGGCCGTCGCAAGTAGATAGGATGCAAAAGACATGTCGCAGGTATTCTGGGCTTGTCATTTGGCGATTTTTGGACCTTCCTGGTTCAAGGGAGATACATGAGATTTCGCCGAGAAAAAGCCACCAAAAACAACACCCGCAGAAAGGGTCCTCATCGCAGAATGCTGGACCAAGTTTTCACTCACCATCTTCCCCTATGTTAGTTACATGCTTGTTGGCTTGTAGGATTTGTTCCCAGAAAAAGAGTGCTGGATTGTAATCACTCCTGTGGCAACCCACGCAATTCCCGAAATCTTAAGTGGTAGTTTCTATGAATGGGGGGACCCCCATATATACCCCAAAATCATATAGTTGAGACAATAGTCCTTATTATGGAAACTCCCAACATGACACCCTGAATTTTGAGAACCCCTCAAGCGGCAAGGTCTGACGAGCCGCGGAGACTTGGAACACTAAAGACTGGCCCTCAGAAGTGGGGCGTTGGGGCACTAGGGATTTTAATCCCACTTAAGTAGATAGAATATGGGGTATATGGGGATCTTATTATAATATGCCCAAAGCCTTATTCTACCTACTTAAGGAGGACTATAGGGCTTAGTGTGGAGAGAGTTTAGGGTGAGGGTCAGGGTTTAGGGTTTGGGGATGTGGGTTTTGGGCTCAGGGCATGGGGTTTGGGAAGCTTTTGCAGCATGAAATGCTCCACGTGAGCTGCAAAGTACTCTGAAGATGATCCCGAAGCAAGCCCAGATGAGCCATAGTCTAAACTCCTTAAAAGGGTTATATGGGAAGTATATAGGGGAATATCATAGGGGTTATTACGGAGCAGACTATAGCTCAGATGTCTTGAGCTTAGCACAGGAAGTTGATTCGGTAGCAGGTGAAGCGTTCCTGAGCAGGCCATTTGGGTTTGTGGGTCCTAGGTGGTTTGTCAATGCGGGCTATGCCAGACAGCGAGCGCTCATGAATCCTCCTATATGTTCCCTCCTAGTTTAGGAGCTTGAAAAACAGGAATAGAAACTTTTGAACCGTTGAAGCATCATTGCAGCATTCATCACCGCCTTGCATAGCCTTCCATACGAATTACAGAATGTACTCCCAAACCCAACGTGCACATTTTAGGCCAACACGTCGATCCTGTCGGATCCCCCGAGCAAGCCCGGTCGCCTCTTCCATGTTGGAGCCATCCAGATATAATCCCCCTTAAGCCTTAAGAAGATAGAATATGGGGTATTTGGGGATCTAATTATAATATACCTAAAGCCACATTCTATCTACGTAAGGGGGACTATAGTATGGTAACCTACTCCATGGGCAAACGACCTGCAGCGCAGGAATTCGGATGAATTTCAGTATGGTTTTCTTATATAACCTTGACAGATTTTCGAAAGTCGTGTATGCCACCAAGTTCTGGCTTCATCGGCCAGGCTCTACACACTGAAGCCCGTAAACTTAAAACAAGACAAATCCTCAATCACGAAGCCTGTGCTTCCTTTGGGGCCTCGTTGTCGCCCAGGAGCTTCTCGCAAACTCATGGCCGGGTACCCTGGATTCAGGGTTTGGAGCAGAGGGTGATTCGTGTCGCATACAAGGGCTTCCTGCTAGGGAGCCGCAGGCTTCTCCTCCAGACATATGTGCGCGGACTTCTTGGCAGCGTGTGGGTAGAGGTTTGTAGTCCCCTGAAGCAGATAGAATATGGTTTTGAGTATATTAAAACGAGATTCCCTGTACCCCATATTCTATCTACAAAAGGGGGACTACAATAGAGAGAACATCGCACGGCGCTGGCCTCTTAGTTGCAGCAGGCTGTTTGGACACATTTCTGTGTCTATATATTTGGGAGTTTTCATAAACGGGGGGGGCGCCAAGTACAGACCCCAATATACGAGACCGCAAAACTGAAACCCCCACATGTCCCCTGACATGCTAACCCAGACCACTGATTGATAAACCCCTTCCCCTTATAAGGGATTACAGTAGGGGTCCTAATATTAAGGCCCTTCAAAGCCAGGGGGTTTATGAATCAGGGGTCAACTCTTCGTGCCTCAACATATTTACGAATGCTGCCCAAAAGCTGGACAGGCAGGCCCAGATGTTGTGTCGCTCTCTCATATGGATGTTTCAAGAATGCGGGTTCTCATTTGGAAAGGTGGTTGCAGTCTTTATTGGGGCCCCCTGTTTCTTAAAAACTACGATATTGTAGGTAGAATCTTAGAAGTGATATTGTCTGCTTTCTTTTCCTGCTTACGTGAAGGAACGCAGCTCTGTTTTCAAGCTTGATGGTTTTCAATGAAACAAGTCTGAGCGTGTGACTGGTGCCAAGGCTATGGCTTCGTGGACTGCGCTGAGACCAAAGCTGCCAATTCCTGAGCACTAACGTTGCATCTTCATTGGCAATTGCAGCAGGCGACCTTCTACACCGCAAATTCCATGCCAGTGTGCTTTCATGCCTACATACTTCTGACAGCCCTTGAAGTTCTCGTGGTTCTTCTTCCGTTTTTCTGCACCGAAAGGAGTCCCTTGCAAAAGAGCTACATCAGTATGCCTCCCCCAGTACGCACCCACGAAAATATGGTCAGAGGGGTGCCGTTAGGGTATTCTGACAGTAATGTTGGGTGCTGATTAGTGTAGGGGACCCCCCGCCCACCCCGCCAAACAAAATAGGGTCCCTTTTTACTATAACGGGGTGGGGGTCACCCCCAAACGAATCTGGATTCTAGCTTTAAGTTAATTTCAGTGAAGAGGATCAGCTCAGGTAAAGTTCGAAAGAGTTTCAGAAGGCATTTAGAAGGGTTTCTGTTGAATTATTATTCGATTTTTTTTGGCCGCACAACTTCGCACAATTAAAGGTCCCCAAACGAATCAGGGGGTGCTGAGTAGTTTTGGCGAAGCTTCGCACAATTCAGGCCCCTCCACACTAATCGGGATCTAACATTAAACAGCGCAGTCAAAGCAGTCTAAACACGCATCAATCAGGCCGCCACAGACATTTTTATGACCAGCTTTTCCACATTCACCAAGCTGGCCTTAAATTGGGAAGTGAAATTATTCTAAGTTACGCTGAACTAGCATTCTGCAACACTTCTGAGGCCTACAATCGGGATGTGTACTTGGACAAGAGCCAAATGCGGGAGAATTGCCACTGCCCCAGGATGACTGCTCCATATCAGCCTGCCAAACATCGAAGTGCTCATTTCAAGAGCTGTGGATCCCTTCGTTGGGAGCATATTTGCGTAGAATTATCGAATATATGCTAAGGACAGGTGGAAGAGGTCAGTGTTCTATTGAGGGTGCAGAACCCTAGTTGTCAACTTGCATAGTTCAGGCTTTTACAGATAGACCGACATATCCAAAGCAACCCCTCCTGGGTCTGGAGGGGCTATGGTTCAGGGAGGAGGCTGTGGTATTGCTTGCCGTGGCAGGCCTTCATGCTCAGTCAACGTATGATTCATCTCACATGACTGACAATGACTGATGAATGCTGTGTGTGGGTGCTGGTGCTGCCACACGACCCTAAACCCTAAAGCCAGACCCCAAACGCTAATCTCTTGAATCTATCAAGGGCCAACCTTGCAATCTGAAGCCTGTAGGCTCTATGCCCTTCAGCAGGGATCTCTTTCTCTCTCACACGGCCGTCCGCCTTCAATCCCTCCAGTTCTGGACTGAACGTGGAAGCTTAAAACCTCAACCAAACTTAAAAACTAACCCTCCCCATTGGCCCATACGTCCTAGAATGCCAAACAATGGTTTTGGAGCCTTATGCTACGGTTGATACCATGCACTTTAGGAATGATGATTAGCATTAATACTGTTATTCTTCTTCTTATTAGTATTGTTACTACAACTGCTAAGACCTACTTTTTAAATGAGGTCATGCAGGATTCTATAATATCAACAGTGCAAATCTCAAGCCCTGTTGCCAGGCGCAAGGCTAGCAGCCTCGGCCCAGAAACCCAGCTCAATAGCCAAGTCATATCGCCATAATTCTGACAGTAACCCTTCTTGCTTGATTTTTGGTAGCTGGCTGGGAATGGGAAATAAGGCAAGAACAATCACATGGAACTTTCATGTAATCATTGATGTGGACTGTATACAGTATAGAGGTCACTTCCTTCTAAATCCTAAGCAGGGATAGGTTTGAACATGATTTGCCATTTTGTTGCCCTTAATCCCTAGAAATCAATTTTCCCATCTTTAAAAGGCCCCCCCCAATCTACTCTAGCGAATCCAGTAAGTTGTGCCTGAGCTCCTAAACCCTAAATCCTAAACCCGAAGCCCTAAACCCTAGACCCTAAACCCCAAACCGTGAATCCTAAACCCTAAACCCTAAACCGAGCTCCCTGCTCAGCTGCCTGGCAATGGGGCCAGCTCTTGGAGTTTTCCGTGTCCTTCAACGACCGTGGAAACCCACAGGTGGGGTTCGTGGTAAATACTGGTTTAGGGTCTAGGGCTGCCCCAGCCCAGCAACACTTGGATATTATGTCTGAATACATGTATATAAAGTAACTTAACCGCTAGAATCCCTAAAATCCTCCTAAACCCTAATAGACCCGAAAACCGTCCTGAATATGGACTGCCTCCTGGGTGGGGGCAGCAGCCAAGTTTGGGGTTCCAGGACTCCAGGCTCCAGGGTGGGGAACAATGGATTTCAGGGTCCTTTAAAGGGGCTAGAGGGGTTAGATAGGGATATGTGGGGGCGTAAAAGGGCTTTACAGGGTTTAGGGTTTCTGGATAGTAGGGGTGGGTTGCTGCACCCAGCAGTTTGCTCTCAAATGCGGGCACCATAAGCTCTGAAACCCGAAACCATCCTAGACCTTGGGTTGAGTCGGTTCGTAATTGTAGGGTTGAGGGCGGTGGTTCAGGGTTTAGGGCACCTTTTTTAAAGGTCCGTTCCGGATTTTGCAGATGCGTGACGACACGCTTTAAACCGATGTTCTCACACGAAGGCAACCACGTTGGGCCCCCTTATAATCCTATCCTATCCTTCTACTTTATACAAGGGCGGCGTCTTTTGAGAGAAGTTCCTACACCATCATTGGAAAGCAACCTTCAAGCTGCTTCATGCACCACTTGCCATGACCTTGTATCCTGTCATTTAAGTGGGTCATAAGTACCGGTTATGATTGGGTTATCACTCCCCTGAACCTCCAAGTTAGCCCTATCCGTTTCCACGTCTTAAACCCTAAGCCCTTTGCCTCACCATACCCTAAACCTTAAACCGGGTGGCGATGCCTCGAGGCACAGCGAGTGAATTGGGAGCCCGTCCCGTCCTCCTGGCGAGGGCTTCGGGGTCTTTAGGGGCTCAGTTCTTTCGCAGCCTGAGCCCTCTGGACCCCGCATCTCATACCCGAAGCCCATGGGCTTGAGAGTTTTATGGGGGGTGAGAGAATTTGGAAGCCTAGATGTCTGAGAGCTTCCTGGATTTGGGGTTCAGGTTCTTAGGGGTTAAGAGCTCAAGGTCTGCTGAGTTTTTTTTCGGTGCTGGAGGAGTTTAACGCGGTCACAGATGTAAGAATTAAGGGTTCAGAGTGTTTCACAGATGTAAGATTGAAAGTGACTCAAGGTTTCAGGGTTTTCGGGGTTTCGCCATTCAGGGATCCAGGTTTGGCACCAGATGCCGTAGCTTGGACAACTGAATTCACGTTGAAAGCTCTCTCAACAGGAATACTTCGGAATTCGGGCAGAGCCCGCAAGAGAGTTGGTTTAGTGGAACCCCAAACCCTGAACCAACAATGACTTGTGACAGAATCCTGTGACCAACGCAAACAGATTAGTCTCGTCAGGTTGCTGTGGGCTTGTCTTAACATTCGGGGATGGGGTTTAGGTTAGGCTGCCGGGTCCTTGCAAACTTCAGCTAATTCCCGTTTGGACCCTTGCGTAGACCATTCGTTTAGTCCAGCACGTAAAGTGGGATGCCGGCTGTAATACTGCCATGCTGGCTGCGGACAAGGCGTGCTGAACGTCTTGAAGATGGCCCTCAATCGTCCAGCTATCAAAACATGGCTTGGGCTTGCATAGTGCGTAGAGCACGAGGTTGCGCAAAAAGGCGGCTACTGTACCCAACCAATCATGGGCAGAGAAACCCGTGCCGGACAATACCAAAGATGCCTCACGGTCTTATCTGGAGTCCTTACACGAGACTCATTCCAGCCCATGCGAAATCTTGCCAGGCTGATAGCTTCCAGCCCTTCGAGCGTTCCAGCGTGGAAGAGGTTCGGCTGCCGGGTACGTAGTGATGAGAATTACACTCACAAAGTTCGGGGCTGGAGCACTCACTCAGCAGTGAGCAGTCAATGGCAACTTCAAACCTCTAATCATTGGAGCTTCACGGAGAGTTTCAAAGCTGGCAGCAATTAAAGCACTCGCGCGAAAAAAATGATCTTCGAACACGCGCTGACGGTAGAGCTACAGAAGTGATAAGTGATTCTTCACTTTTGACAAAAGCAGGTCGTTTTCATATAGCCTCGTATGAGAAAAATGTAGTTAGTAGATTGTTTTCCTCATTTCAGTCAGGGCCTCATGAGGCATGCGGCACGACTGCTTGTCAGTATGGCCATAGACAGGCGATGGGGCTCCCCGCTTTTTGATTCCTAGCACTTTTGTGACAATGGGTTGTGGTAGCCAGAAAGTAAACCCTAGACGGCTAACCTAAGCCTTTAAGGCTATACTTCGAGCGCCTTTAGGTCCAGTCTCAGACCATCCACGTATGAAGGTATAGCCCATATTTTCATATCTTACAATATGTCATCATATACTATAATATATTGTAGTATATTGTATTTATAATATATATCACAATATACTATAACATATTGTAGAATGTACCTAAGGCAGACCTTGCATGAATTCGCCTTCGGAACTTACCCGGTGAACGATCCTCGTTTCAGACGGAATACGTCGCAAATGGCAATGCAGTTGGCAATGCCTACGCAACCTAGCCTGCGTCGAAGCCTTGCCCCTCACAATCAGATTGACATGCTGAAGCGGTAGTTTGAACTTCTAATCACCTGTCCTGCTCGATCTCTGCTTCAATCTGGCACCATGAATCGCTTCCAGTTTGTAATCCTGTTTTACACCGCTAGGCACGTTGTTGCAGGAATCTTGTGTCGCGCAAAGCCCCAGAAAACCCTCCAAACTTGAAGGTACCTTGGTTCGAGCAACCTCCATTACACCTGGGACCTTGAGCCACCCCTGCCGCGCCCAGACTATTTCAAGCAGATTGTGCAAGCCCTCTAACCGTCCTTCCCACAGGACCTACAACGAGAAGACTCAGGATCAGCTGAAGCGACTGCTGAAGCGGGGACCCTCAGGATTCAGGTCTGGCATTTGGGCTTGAGAGCTTAGGTTTATCAGGGTGTAGATGGTCGGGATCTAGGGTTAAGGTGTGGGGAGGGGTTTGAAGTGTAAGGGCTTGGCTTGGACAGAGTAGGCTTACACGGTCTGCGGATTCCTGCGGATTTTATGCTCAAAGTTAAGCTATGCCTGAGATGTTTAATGACCCGCGCTCATTGCAGATCCACTATAGGGCTATGAGGGCTACGGGTACCTGTTTGGGGGGAGATGGTCGAGTGACAGTCTTAAGGGATTAGGGTCTATGGTTTGCTTGCAGCTTAGGCATGAGCTTCAAATCCTGAGCTTGAGATCCCAAGCCTACACATCCACAGGATAATGTGGAAGCCTGAGTAGTTCTTCCCCTATAGGCCCTATAACCCTTATCCTTATACAACATTAAAGATAGGCCCCCCCTCCCCAGACGTCAGTATTCCAAGTATTGGCCTGCACTATCACTATTACTGTTACTATTATTGTTATTATTATTACTATTACTGTTACTATTATTATTATTACCATTACTGTTACTATTGTTATTTCTATTGCTATTACTGTTACTATTATTGTTATTACTATTCCTGTTGCTATTTGACCCTTGGGCTCCCGAGCCGCAGCTTGACCTGCAAGCCTCAAGCGTTGCTCTTGTGCCTCTACGCGGCTGGTGTTTCAAAACTGCTGCCTTTCTCTGCTCTCGGCTTTTTTTGCCTTGCCGGCGGTGAACTGGTTTTCAGATAGATGGCTAGATCAGCTGACAGCCGCGGGGGATTATCCTGAGCAGGAAAGGTCACACACACACACACACAAAAAAAAGCAACTAAACCAATGACCAATGCCCTAAACCCTAAACCCTAAACCAATGACCAATGCCTTGAACCCTGGTCCAGAACTGCAAAGGAGCCATAATCTAAACTCCTTTCATTGGGGGTTATATAGGGGATTATATGGGGAACTATTATAGGGGATATTAAGGGGGATACTAGGAGTTTAGACTATAGCTCAAATTGACTTAACCCTATATAGTCCTATAATATCCCTATATAACCCCTTATAAACCCCTTTAAAGGTACCCCTAATTTTGGGAAACCCCCAAATGGACTTAACAGATTATAGCTCATATGAGATCGTAGAATCTAGTATCCTTAAACCCTAAACCCTAAACCCCTGAACCCCTGAACCCCCAATTGACTTAACAGGCTGCTGCATGAAAACAACCCGGAGACCGCCATCGTCACAGCTATCGACTTGCGCCTCGGCTGCTCTGTAATAGTAATAGTAACAGGAAGGGTTTAGGGTTTAGGGTAGTTTTAATAGTAATAGTAATAGGAATTAATAATAGTAATAGTAAGTAACAGTATGTAACAGTAATAGTAACAGTAACAGGAATTCATAGTAATAGTAACGGTATGTAACAGTAATAGTAATAGTAATGGTAATGGTCATAGTAATAGTAATAGTAATAGTAATAGTAATAGTAATAGTAATAATTAGTAATAATAATAGTAAGAGCAATAGTAATAGTAATAGTTCTAGGAATAGTAATGGTAATAGTAATAGTAGTAGTAATAGTAAGCATTCTATCAAGCAACATTGGACCAATACAGACACGTGGCTGAAGACACTGGGTTTGTGACAGGCTCGGACGGCCATTCCGCGACATCGGCTTATATTACCATTACTAGTATTTTATTACTGTTCTGATTATTACTAGTATTACAATTGTATTACTAGTATTATTACTATTTCTATTAGTAACAGACTTTCCTGGCTTGCGACAAGCACTTTCGCGACACGCTTTTGAGGTGGGGCGTGCCGTGCCAAGCACTTGAGGTATGTAACAACAGGCCGCGATAACGGGGTATGCAAGGTGGGGTTTGATCCACGGTTTAGGGTTTAGGGTTCAGGGTTTAGGGTTTAGGTACACTTTCAACTTTAAACCCCACACCCCGAATGGATTCAAGCTGACTTGGTTCAACCGCCTAAAGGGGACCATGGCATTGGTAATACTTTCATCCGCTACAGTCCCCACATGAGCTATAGACAAAACTCCTTAAAAGAGGGTTATATATATATATATAGTGGGGAGCATTATAGACGTTCAGGGGGGATACTAGGAGTTTAGACCCTAAACCCTAACCTAAACCCCAAACCCTATACTAGGGCTTATTAAGGGGACCCTAAAACCGAACCCAAACCGCAAACCCTAGACCCTAAACCCTATACTAGGGCTTATTGAGGGGGATACTGGGAGTTTAGACTATAACGTCTATAATTCCCTATATATTAACAGTTTCCATTTCATTCTCCATTTTCTTTTCCATTTGATTCTCCACTATGAAGGGGGATGTTAGGAGTTTAGACTATAGCTCCCATGGAAACCAGGCAGGGTGGCTCGAGTAGTCCGGGTTCCGCGGCACAGCCGGCGCCAGAGGTTCGGAGAAGAGCCTTTGGGGGGTTCGGGGGTCGAAGGGTTTAAGGGTTCAGGTTGGGTACTGCCCCCACCCAGTAACAGTCTATATTACGGGTCATATTAAGGGCTATATATAACCATGTTATCATTCTTATCCAACTGTTACTGAGGGGGGGGCAGTACCCAAGGTCTAGGGTCTGGGGTTTGGGATTTAGGGTTTAGGGTTGGGACCTTGGGACTTTGAACGGTTTAGGACTTGGGGCTTCGTCTTTCCAATTATTTTAGGGTCAGGTCTTAGGTTCGATATTCAAGATCCTGCGTGGCCCTGAGCACCTCATACCTCATGCAGGGATTATGGACTTGTTGTATACTGAGGTCATGCAGGTTGGTAGTATACACGATACATTAAAATACTAGCCGGGTAGCGAACACTCGACCTTATTGGTTATGTGTATGTGTACTATCCAGTCGCAATGCTAAGGGTACGTCGGATTTAGACTAATTTTTGTGTCTGGGGTCCGGGCTTACTGGGCTGAGGGTTTAAGGGCTCGCCTTTAAAGGAGTTATGTGGCGTGGTGTAGGGGCACATGATGCATATCGGCGTGTAGGAGCGTTGTGGTTTTCGGTGTTAAGGGATGCGGATTTAAGGTTTGGAGTAGGGATTGGTTTAGGCTTAAGAGATGAGGTTTTAGGGAGCGCAATAGAGATTAGGGGTTATGATGTAGGCATTAAGTTTTGGGATTGGGTTTGGAGGCGTTCTGAATTCTGGCGACACTGGGAGTTCCGGGCTGCGTGGAGATGATGGAAGTCTACAGACTTTGGGCATGCAGCTACGCAGGAGGGGTTTGTGCCGGTATGTTAAGGAATTGCAGGCTTGTTGTGCCTTTTCCCATAAAATGAAGACTTGAACGCGTCCCCACCTCATGACAACATATGCCCCGGCTTCAAATATAATTATTGCAAGGCTTACATGAGCGGCCTGTTTGAGTCAATACAGGAAATCCATCGTTGTGATTAAATTCCCTTTCGATTTCGTAGCATGAAGCCTTTTACAGGAGCCTTATGCAATCAACAAGATTTCGGATTCCATTCATTCCCTGATTACAGTAACTGCTTTAATTTCTTCATATCTTTTCCGAAGAAGCCGTATAAACACAACAAAAGCCAAGGACATCAAGGAAGCCCCTAATTATGATTCTTGATTACGGCCCCCTCAATTACGGACACCTCAATTCACACTGTTAGCCATCTAACACGTCCCCTTGAAAGCAGCCTTCCCTCGTTGATTTTTTTCCAGGATATGGGGTGTTTACTAATAAGGGAGAAAGGGCTACTGGGCGATGCGGACTTGTGCTTCAGAATGTTTCGGCTTGCTGAGTTTGGGGTCATGTTTTGGGTGGGTCTTTTCCAGGCTTCACCTGAATATGGGTAATTCTACATGTTTGGTGGCCGGCATATACATGTTTCCATAACCACGCCTGAGAAACCATAATTAAGGCCTAAACCCTAAACCATCATTCCCCCCCTCCCCGCCCCTCCGTCTGCGCATATGCCCAAGTCCGAGTTCCTATCTACGACCCCATGAAGCGACGGAGTCGTTTGCAGTGGAGTTTCAGAATATTTCAAGGCTGGCAAGCAAGCCCCTCACCCAGACGCGCGCACACACACACAGAGATATATATATATATACATATATGTATATATATATATATCTATTTGTATTCATGGTAGCCACCCCCCCAAGATCGACGCCTAACTTGTTTTAACTTCATGAATGCTTCAAATAGTGTCGTTGTGAACATATCGTATCAGCCAAAAACACGGTAGAATAGCGATGATTTCTACACTTTTGAAGAGAATTATTCAGATGCACGCAAGAAATCTGTAAGTCTGCCATCTGGAAACCAGAATCCGGTCACAGATTTCCTACAGAGGAAAATCCTCTCAAAAACTGGAACTCCAGGAATTGAGGATTTCTATGTTATTTCTACTTAGATTTCAAGAGAAATTCGTATAGAGGAAAATCCAATCACAAACCAGAAATCCAGGAATTGAGGATTTCTGTGTTATTTCTAATTACGTTTTAAAAGTATTTCATATAGATGAAAATCATCTCAGCGCCCGAGATTAGGGACAATACAGTGTTATTTCTAATTATATTTTAAAGGAGTTCATATAGGCCAGCATATATATATATATGTACACCTATAGGGGTTGTTAAGCACAGTGGCTCTTTTTGGGGAGGCCTAAATCTTGGAAGCCGTGTTATACCGGGAGGACCGACGAGGAACGCTATTTTTGACAACCCAGGGGCGTTATCCCTAAACCCTATAGTGTAGGTGACCCCGCCCCACCCAGTAATAGTGACTATAAGGGATAATATTAGGGTCCTCTTATATTCCTAGTATACCACTATTACAGGGTGGGGGGTCCTCCTAACCTATAGCTTCCTACCTACCCTTATATGAGCTACTGTCAATATCAGGCTTACTCAGGCACCAAAATAGTCCCTAACATAGTGCCTAATTAGGAACCCATGTCACATGTCCATTGAATTATTTGGGAAATACTGAGCGTAGCTCATATGATCTCTTATAATTCCCTTCCAATGCACGACATTTTTTTGTATCAAACCTGTCTGTATATGGTGGAGAGGGGGCTTACAATATGGATGCCAATATGCTGTGATCCTCAATATCGGGACTCTCAAAATGCCATCCCATTCTTGGGAAATCCCATGTAAACTGCAAACTTAGAGCTCCAATTTCCAGCGTGGCAGGCCCCGCCGGACGCTGATGTTGACTATGTCTTCTTCGTGCGGCTCGGCTATAAGTGTACTTATTCACCGAAGTAATTACAAGCCCCCCCCAATATGGTTGTAATTGGGTTGGGTGTACCAGATGTAACTAGGTTAAGGGCTGCTCTGAACCCCCATCCCCCATTTAGGGAAAGTCCGGAGTCCCGTGTTGAGGGCGTTGGATTTGGTCTCAGGGTTTGGTTTCAGGGAGTTGGCCTGTGGTTTAAGAGCGCCCGGCGGTTTAAAAGCGACAGGTGGGCTTACCCTAAACCCTAGATTCAAACCCCAAATCTTACTTAACTGGGCAATTTAAAGCGAATAGTACCACAATGGCCTTAAATTGGGAATTGAAGCTATTTAAATTACCCTGTAATTAAGGCTTCGGGGTGCAGAGCAAGATGCAGCCCCTACTAGATTTAGGACGGGCAGGGATCATTCAGAAGATGTCAGAGCGAAATAGCTTATATATCCCCCATATAACCCCTACATACCCTATATACAATCTGTATACGTCCCCTAGACTGGGTTGCTGTCAAGGAATTTAACTCTATATTGGGGAAGCCAGAAAAATGAAAGTATATTTAAAAACCAACATTGGTAGCTTAATTTAAGTGCCTTAACTGCAACCCAGTAGATAACCCCTATATAGCCCTCATCTCAGGGCATGGTTTCCCGTGCCCTAAAGGATTTGCCCACAAAAAATCCGGGATGCCACGCTGTTTGAAGCTGGTTCAAGGCAACACTCCAATTATAAGGGGTTACCTAGAGGCTAGTGGGTCTAGATAGGGTTCATGTATGTAGGAGTGTATATAAGGTTCACAGTAGAAATTAGCTAAGTATAACTGGTACTTAAAACCCAAGGAGTCCCATGTCAGACGGCTTAGGGTTTTATCTGGGGTTATAGCTACATTTACAAGTAGATTAAACGTTATAGGCTTCCTCCCTAGGGTTTAAGGGATTTTGGAGGCAAGATGAGATGACTTCGCGCGGACATCTTTGAGACTTCTCTTAACGTTGCAGATTTGCTCGCCAACTTGGGCTGTTAATGCCACTGGGTAGGAAAACACTCAGGTTACAACCTACCTTCCCCTATAGCATGTCAAAATATACCTACCTAATTTGGGCATCTCTGTGCAACCCTGGCGCCTTTCCTGAGGCTGGATCGCTTGGAGAACAAGGCCGAGTTTGGGCAAGCAAGTGCTTCAGTTTTGGCCTGGAATAGCGATCAGTAAATATATTCCGGTTTTAAGTACGACTGCTAAACGCTCAGTACAATTCTTGTGTTTTAGAGTTATTGCTATAGTTGCGATTGTTGTTCAGACTTCTGAGCATGGTAAACCCCAGACCCCTAAGCTCAATAATTTACTTGCGCACTTTCGAGTATCTCCAACAACCAGGGGTCCCTCTCATATGGAAGATGGTCAAAATTATGATGCCATCTTAGGCAATCAGTACAACTTGCAAGGCCGCTGATTTTTAGGGCACACCAAAGACGCGACCATAATTCTTCGACCCCAGGTAACTGTACTGCATATTCTTGTCGTATGGCAGGCTGGTCATTTCAGGTTTCAAGAGACCCCCGGGTAAAGCGAGGCAAGTTTCAAGTACTGCAAAGGCACGGTCGCACTTGTGTTGGAAACCCACGGTCGGTCACGCTGCTCCAGTTTTCATCCGAATTCTCAATGCCGTTCAGCACTTTAGGGTTGAGTCTAAACCCCAAATCCACAACCAGGTGTTGTGCGGTATGTTCCAAGAAGATGGAAGGTCCAGATATGGAGGGTCCAGATGTAGGTTATCTACAGCAAGCATAGCTGCACCTTCCGAACCCCAGTGCCCAAATTGCAAAACGTGCCTTGCGTATTTGTCGGCCTCTCTTTGGGAGCACAAGCCCTTCTTACTGGGGGTTACTACTCGGTGAAACTTCTAGTTCACCAAAGAAACTGGAGCGCCAAGCAAAAATCTCCAAGTCTAAGCCCTAAACCCTACACCCTAAACCCTAAACCTGAACCCTAAAGCCTAAAACCTCAACCCTAAACCTTAAAGGCACCTCAGGCAGAGCCCCAGGCTTCCTCGACAAGCAGGAAACAGTTTGCTCATAAATCCTAAAGAATAACCCCAAACCCTCTTGGGTAGTCCTTTACTTGGGGATACTATGGTACCCAATATAGAGTAAGATTCTACCCTCCTTTTGGGGTATCGTTTTTTATATACGGAATATTATCTTACTAGGTTCAACCACCAAAAAAACACTACTCTATTATTACCGTTATTGTTATTGTTATTTGTTTCACTAGTATCATTGGGTCTAGGGTTTAGGGTTTACCAATTTTATTCTCATTGCCGTTATTGGTTTTATCCTACAAACGAAGCCGCTACCCCCAGACCCCCTGACCTGAGCCGCAAGGCCTAAAGTATATCTACCCATACTTTTGGGGTGGGGGCTAAGGAGAAAGGGATAGTCTATATCAATATCATAAGGGGAGCTAAGGAGCCCAGGAATCTCCAAAACCATAAGGGAGATATACATCTCCTATAACCCCCCTGTAAGTACAAGGGTCCCCGCAGGTCTATTAAAAGCCTAAACCCTAAACCTTAAAAACCTTAAACCCTAAACCTTAAAAAGCCCTAAAGCCTAAAACTTAAACCCAAAAGCCCTAAAACCCCTAAACCCTAAACCCTTCAACATGCGGGACTCAGAGAGTTACTGCTGATGCAGGAAGAGGTCCTCAAAGCCATTAAGGCCCGGCCATGAACAATGTCCCGGATCCGCAAATAGGGTTTCGGGTTTAGTTGTTTAGGGTTCAGGGTTGAGAGGTTTGGGGGTTTAGGGTTTAGGGTTTTAGGGTACCATCATGGCATAGGATGTTTCAAATAGGCCTCGCGCAATGATATTTGTATGTATTCAGGCCCCTACATTTTCGAGTTGAGGGGCTTCGAGGGCCAGAGTCTACAGCTTAGGGCCTTGGAGGGAGGGGTTGAAGTAACTTCGTTTCTTTTTCTCTTGAAATTCTTTGTCAGGGAATCATGGGCATTCCAAGCGAGGGTGGCCCGTTCATACTTAAGTGTGGGGAGCAGGCTTCGGGGTTATTACTATTATTAGTACCATGATTCTTCTTATCATGTTTATTGTTAGTACTCTAAACCCTAAATATTCTTATTGCTATTGGTTTAGGATTCAGGGTTCAAAGCTTCTAAACCTGGATAAGGTTTAGGGAAGTTATGAGGATCCAAATATATAGATTCCTACCGTAGTAGCGTACTATAATACATGCTATGATATACTAACTGGCCTCAACTTGCTTGGCAGGACTTTGTGAAGATGCTTTTCGTGCTTATGCTCTCTCGCATGCTGAGGCCGGAGGGGATGTGGCTGGGAGGAACTCATCAGGGTTATGTTGGGGTTACATAGGGTTTATTTTATAGGCTTATATAGAGGATTATGGATTACAGAGGTTTAATGAGTCAATATAACGGTTATATTGGGGTTATATGGGAGGTGGAGCTTCTCCAGCCTACTTCTGATCAGCAGGAAATGGAGGAAGGGATCCGTATAGCAGCCTCCATGTACCGCCCGAATAAAAAATCAAATATGTGAGTGTCCGTTTTCTTTTCCATTCCTTCAGTCCCTGCTAGCAAGATGCAAGTTATATAACTCCACAAACCACACTTACGTATCATGTATTTTTGCGTTAGATTCTCCATGATTGGAGCAATACCTCGCGTAGCCCTTGAAACCCTAAATCGTCAACTCTGGACCTAAACCCTATACATTAAGAGAACCCCCCACCGGCCCCCCACCCTTCAATAGTGGTATACTAGGAATAGAATAGGACACTAATATAATCCCTAATATCCCTTGTGGTCACTATTACAGGCTGGTGGGGCCCACCTAACCTATACATGAATATTGTTACTCTGTATTATGCTCAACAGAAGTAAGCAATGGCCCAGGGGATAGCGAAGAAAATAACAAGTGAAATGGACACGCAGCCCATGACCGTCATTCGACTGTGCCTGGGCGCTTGTAACGGGTATTTCTCTAGAGAGAAGCCCTCATTGTTGCATATCATGATGTAGTAACAAAGATGTCCCAAACGAGGACCCTGAACCCTAAACCCTAAACCGGCTGGGATATGTGGGTAAAAGAGGTGCCTAAAAAGCTCAAACCCCACAGGTTAAGATATCTTAAATCCTAATTCGACCCCAGTCCTTACAGTGATCTTCCAGGGGAAGAAGCTCGAGGTTGTTGACATCAGACAGTGGGCCCTATGCTTGTTGCCTATTATTGTTGTTGTTACTATTATTGTTATTGGTTTTTATCGTTAATGTTTTGCTACTGTTACTGATTTTGTCATTACTATTTTATTCTTCTTCCTATTATTATTGCAGAGGCCTTTACAGGACTTGCGGATTCTTCCTCAGATCAGAAGGCGAAGTTTTTCACAACTATTCCTGCAAAATCTTCGGTAGGGACGGCCATAGGCCTGCCTCTTATCATCCCTCTATACCCCCCAGAGAAACCGTTCTTGAGAAACCCTATACTCAGGGGCTTCGAGACTTCTCTACTGCCTTCACGCGTTCCGAGGACGCAGCCATCCATGAAGCGCGTAGAGCAGCTCATCGAGTGGTACGAGGTCGGTGGCCGCGACGTAACATTTTCTAGCCAAAGTAATAGAAGGCGGAGAATTGTATGCTGACCCAAGGTCGCAGTAATTGGAGTCCAGTAGTGGTCTTAAGATATCCTGACGGACGCTTGGGCAAAATGTTTAACATGCGCTCTTCCCATGAGTCCGGCTTCATCAGCGTGGAGCCAGGAAAACCCCTTCCTAGGCACCCTCGCCCTAGGGTGCCTGGATATTGGGGAGTTTGGCCTAGCTCCAAACCCTAAACCCTCGGCAAAAGACCCTGTGCCAAAAGGCAGACGTAAGAGGTCAAAGGGTTTGGAACAAACCCTAAATGTTGGGGGGTCGCTGTTGCAAGGTTCCGTTACACTTGGTATATTTAGGGGCTCCAGAGTTTGAGAACCTCACCGCTAGATTCTCCAGGCTAAGCTTATCATGTTCTTGCTCATTTTGGCTTCCGTGCATTCTTCCAATTTCCTTTCCTATCCACCAGGAACCATACGATCCACGATCTTCCCAAAAGGCTCAAGGCCTGGTGCCTGCGGCCCCACCACGAGACCCTGAAGTCCAAGGACCTTTGAAGGGGTCTTCAATGTCTACAGGTCAAGAAGATATTTTAACCCTAAACCCCGAAACCCTAGGCCCTGTTTGGGATTTAAGCGTCAGTCTTTGGGTTTTAGGGGTATGGGGCTGTGAGTTTGTGAGGCCTAGGTCCGCCAATCCGGACTATGCCCAGAAATTGTAAGTGCTCCCTAGCTACACTCATTTGGGGCGTGCGCCGTTTTGACAAAATCTGAACCCCCAGCCTCAAAACTCGAGACCCGGCACCCGTTGATCCCAAGGCCTCACGGCAATTGCAAAGGAATGGCCTTGTCCCTCAAGCTGTTCAAGTCCTTGCAGATTCACAATGAAATTCAACAGGCTTATGTTGATTAGACGTCCGTGGTCGCACCCCAGCTCCAACTAGATTGGCAAACATAAGCCTCAAACACTGAGCCTTGGACACTGCAGTAATCGCTAGCTCAGGTGCTGAAGAGTTTTTGACTTGACGCCTCTATGCATGCACGAGCTAAAGTATGCTAATCACGGTACATACGGACAGAAGGTTTTTTTGGCGGTATGCGCACCTTATAGATTACCTCTTTGAGCCCGCTTGCCTTTGCCAGGCCGTGGCTCAGGCGATCCAGACCACCAGCGACGCCGTTAGACAGCATTTCCAGGCCTCTGATCGCTTCATTCCTGCTGCTCCTGCTGCTTCTCCTCCTCCTAACTCTTGCCCTTCCCATTCTTGCTCCTTCGCTGCCCCCTTTCCTGCCCTTCCTCCTCGTCGTTCTAACAGAAGCGACCGAAGCCTGAGCGGCCGAAGCGAGTCGTATAAGTGGATCGACCAGCGGGGAATATGATTAGTACATGCCACAACCACAATTCCAAGAGTCCCGTCAACAAAAGCTGTGGACAAGCGATGCCAAGTAAAGTCAAGGCTTCAATTGATAAATGGGGGCGGGGACTGGTTCACAAAATAAAGATCCTGACCTTTTGGGGGGAATATTGTGGTGATCGTGGTTCAGAGGCACAAGCCAGACTGAAACCAACGACCGTTCTGAACCCTAGACCCAAAACCCACAACCCTAAACCCGATATGCTTAACAGTGCTCGCGGGGGGCTTATGGGTTGAGGTTTGAGGTCTAGCTGTTAGGGATGGCTTTGTCACAAGTATTGACAAGCCGTGTCTAGTCAAAAGGTAAGGAACTTCAGGGTTGGCGTGATGATCAGGAAAAAGAAAATGGAAACTGCTATAGTATCTTGAGGTTATATAGGCGGGGTGATGGAAAAGAAAACGAAAAATACTATCGTACATTGTGCTTACATAGGGATAATGGGAAAAATGGAAGCTACTATTTAGGGAAATACAGTGGAGCGGGAAAACCCGTGTAACAAAGCTGTTGCCAGGATGTCGTGAAGCAGATCAACACCCACATTCAGAATGCTGCCAAAGAGAACGACCACTTGCAGAATGAGGCGTACTATCATTATTATTACTATTATTACAATTACTATGGTTACTTTTACTACTCTAGTTACTGTTGGTACGACTGCTTCCATTATGGCTATTATGGCCTGGAAAGATGCTGCTTTTCTATGCAGAGCTGGAAGAACGCACAATGGTATAGACGAGCACGAGGGATGCAAGCTTTTCTGGGAGTTTGCAGCTGCCATGCCATACAGCAAGCTGCTTCCCGCAAATCTGGGCCAAAGCCCTTCGGTCTCATTCGCTTCCTCTAGCCCTTGTCCAGAAAGATCAGCCATGGCTCGTCGTGTGATG